TGCCGGAATCTCGGCCCAGACCGCAGCTGTGCTCCGGTGAGGCCCGTCCGGTCCCCCGGCGGCACCGTGCACCAGAGGAGAAGCCTCCGGTAGCTCTGACATTCCAGCCGCCACCCCAGGGCCGCCAAGCTTGTGGGAAAATGTGCTTTTTGGCCTTAAAACGCCCACCTGCAGCTGCCGAGGACACCTCTGGTTGCGGTCTTGGTCTCATCAGTGTCAGGCCCGGTGTGCGTGATAGTAACGGGCAGCATTTAAGCAAAACTGAGGGGGCAGGAGCGGGAACAGCATGCAGGGGTGTGCATGCATCCTATCCTGTGACTAAATGTGTGAAAAAAATTAGGTATTTTTTTCTTGGCTGGATGTGCGCTACCAGAAGTGTGTTAGTGCATCAGAAAATGACAAAGGACAACAGTACTTTTGTCTTCAGATGGGCCTACAGAGTGAGCAGCTTCCTGACACCAGCTATGTCCCTCACCTACATCAGAGGCCTGCAGTGCCATTGCTGTTGAAGAGTTCCAACTTTCAGATACAACTTGGAAGGCACACACGTGCTGTTGACAGAACTACTCCTCTACCAGGAACTAGCAGCTGACACTCCAGCCTGTCAGAGCAACCAGGCTACTACGGCACTGAGAACTCCAGCAGATTGCAGACCACATAGGTTTCTAGGTTTGCATTTTGGAGACTTCATATAGCCTCATAGTATTTAAAGGAGGTAGGAAGGAACCTATAAAAGCAACATCCATTGCTGTGTTTTTTTCATGAACATTTAAGTTTTTCCAAAAGTTAAAAATCAGTACCTTGACTTCACTCTATAGTTAATATGGCAACTCCCCTCTGACTCTGGTTGACCAGGCGCATTGCCAGCTTAAATGAGAATGCATGACTGACTGCAGCAATACTAATTTGCCCAAAGTTTGGGAGAATATAATGGAAATAACTATGCAATGTGTATTCCACATAATCGAAAACAGAGAAATGAGGCCATATGCATCTATGATTCTATGACGTATGTAACAGCATGGAAAGCAAGGTCTTGTGGCTAGCCAGTAGCATGGGAAGTGAAAGACCAGGTCAAAATAACAATAATTTAGAATCAGTACTAACATAGAAAACATTCACTTCATCTTCATAAAGAATTTTAAAAAATGACTGAAACAAATAGAGGGTTGTAGAAACATTTGGTTAAGGACAAACTCAAGTGTTTCTTTTTTTTTTTGTTTCCAGTATTTTATTTCCTAAACATAGTGACAATGTAAAATATCAATGGTGCCCTGACTAAAGTGGTATCTTAACAGAGTACATAGGAAATTTTGTTACAGCTAAAGTAACTCTAGAATATCCCCACATGCCCAGCTTTTTTTCTTTTAACACACTGATGAATTTTAAACAAATGGCTATTGAGAGGTATTAAAATCCATACCTCCCTCAGGAAAAGAAAGACTGGGAGGAAAGCAGGTAAGAAAAATTATTTCTTTAGAAGAAATGTATTGATGTTTTATCAGCCACATGCAGTATGATCCTTTTTGACGTTCCTTTTGTAAAGTATAATTGCATATTATACGTTATCTATCCATTGGGAAGTCTGAAATGGACACACCAGCACAGACCTGACCAAGGCTCTCTTTCTGTAGGCTAACTCTGGTTTGGGCATCTGTTTACTCTTTTGTCTCATGAACTTGACTTCTAACTTAAGCTAATGTTAACATACTCTCCCTCTACTTGATTAAATTTCTTTAACACAGGGAACAGGTTTAAAGAAATCCAGCGTATTTTACTTGTTAACTTTTTCCCTTATGAGGTAACTTTTGTGATCAGTGACTTATTGGTATAATGTCAGCAGTATCTTCCAACATAAATTAGATTGCATCTATGTAGCTTAGTCCTAAAGTTACTGGCACTTAAAAAAAAAAAATATGCCCCCCCAAAAAAACCCCAATAAAGTGGCAAGTGCCTGTGTGGAAGGGTAGAGGGGGAAAAAAGGGACTGGGCAGACTTAGCAAGTTTCTTAAAACCTAAGGCCTAAATCTTATTTAAGGCACAACCCTTTGTTATGTAAGGTCTTTCTAGAGAAGGCTGAATTCAGTCGCGAATGACATTTCAAGGGTGCCACACTGTGGTGTTAAAGGAATGTCTCTTAGGCTAAAGAAGCAGTATTAAATAGCTGAAAATAAAGTGTTATCCTTTCTCATATAATAGCATCTCGAAAGCACTTCACCTGTACTTGGTATTGTATAAGACAATACCTCTGTATCTATCTATATGAAAGACAGAAAATAGGTTATTTTACTACTTTGATTCATGACAATATGAGATAGTTTGTTCTTCCTCTGCTAAACAAAGGAAAACCTTTTCTTAGGTAGTAGTACTAACTCCACTGACTCATGTTGTATTGTCAGTTAGATGAGATACTCATTAACTTTTTCACCTGTTTGTTACAATGAACATCTAGATTCTCAAATAAGCAAATAAAACACTAGAGAGTTTAATTTCATAAAGACACGTATATATGCGTGTAGTTCTAGTCAGTACATAACTGCAGCCATAAAGTACAACATACATTTGAGTATTGATATATATGTAGGTCTTGTGGTTAGTGCAAATGCCCATATTTTAGCTCTGATTTACTATCAGAAAAGAAACCAGCTCCAATAACCATACAAGGTGATCCTAACTGAAAGTAACAGAGCTAGATGAGAAATAAAGTTGTTGATAATTCAATGAGGTGATACTTAGAATTTCTAGCCCACTTGCTTCTTCAGGGGCTCTAGAAAATTCTTAACACCATTCACAGAAACACATTCCCTAAGTGACTGAAGTGATATATATGCTTCATGAGTGGCTGAAGCTAGGTATTTTCATAAAGTTTCTATGTTAGTGAAATAGTAGCTTTTGTGGGGGAAAACCAAGTAAGTTTTTTTCCTTTATTAGCAAAATTTTATCTTCTTAACTGTTTCCTATACCTTAAACAGTATTTTCCTCTTTAAAGAGGTTGAGATCTACTAAAGAATCAGTACACTTTATGCATAACTATTTAAAAAAAAATATGAATCTTGAACATTCCTTTTTTCATAAAGTGCAAAGATGAAAGACTGACTTTCTCCCAAATAAAAATAGCAAATATAAAAATAAATAAATCCAGTTACACAGAATTAATGCCTCTTTTTCTTGGCTTTGCACTTCTTGTATTTTTGGTCACGCTCTCTCTGTCTCATTTTGTCATCCTCAATACTAGTGTCACTGTCACAACTTTGCTGTTCTCTCTTTCTTTTAGAGTTGCTTTCATCCACCCGGTGCACTTCACAGTCACTTGAATGTGGCAAGGCCAATTCAAAAGAACTCTGTGCAGACTTAAAATTTGCAGCTTGAATCTGATACGGAGAGATGGATAAATCTGAAGGCTGTATTGGCGTCATCTGACAGTAAGCAAACTGTTGACCCACTGGACTCTGTACTGTGTACTGCTGTGCTAAAAAATGGTTCGTCTAGAGAAATAGAAACTTTAGCTGTTAACACCGTAAAAAAATTTTAAAGAATTTAATTTTGCATGCGTTTTGACTTATACAATGAAAATACTGATAAATTATAAAATAACATAACACAATGTTTGAGCACAAAGCTTATACATTTTATTATATCAACTAGTATAGTCAGGAAAAGTGGACAATTTCTGTTAGAACAGAGATGTAATCCAATTAAAAATTAAATATGCCAGTTAGTCCTTCTGTCAGGTAATCAAACATTGCATTCCTATTTTATGAAGATTTGTAACTGCAGTGCCTATTGTTAATGTAACGACATGCACACCTGCAATTTCTTTTAACCTGGTTTAATTAATTTTAATGTGGAATGAGGCCTTCCAACAAGGTATAGTGAATCCATAGATCAAAACACTTGGAACAAGGCACTAAGTGCCCAGCTTCTTGCTACAGTCCCTGAAGAATCTCAAAAGTACCGCTCCTACAAAATGCACAGGCCAAATACAGTAATAGAATTGCAGAGGTCAGAAAAGAGTGGCCTTCTGCCAACTGGTAGTAACCAGAGAAATTTGGAGGAGTGTTCCAATCGTGTTATATGTGCAGGCAGACTCCAAGTGAAAAATCTGCCTGGCTCACCCGAATAAAGGTAAGGTAGATGTTTGAAGACAAGATCACTTCCTGCTG